ATATAAGATTTAGGTCTTAGTTGTGAACTATAGCAGTTGCAGCGATCATAATCGATCAAAAACAGCCAAAAAAAAAAGTGGATTCATTGATTCAAACTACTTTTACGGATTTTATCGCGTTTATTTATGTTATTTTTAATACCCGACGATTTGGGGAACTGAGGTGACTGACGTCCCGATGTAAAAGTTAACCCGGAGTCGCCTCAGTCCCCCGTGACCATGGGTGCTGGAAAGCACCCGAAACGTCGGGTATTAAAAATAATATAAATAAACGCGATAAAATCCGTAAAAGTAGTTTGAATCAATGTATAGTGTTCGCGTAAATATAAGAAAAGTGGATTCAATTACATGATGCACTCACTCGTCATAATCTAGTCGTATTTGATATAGCTTTATGCTTGAGATCAGAGGTAGGTTTGGATACAGTGTTTTGCTGAATAACCGCACAAGTTATTTAACTTAAAATATTAACGAATATATTTTGTAATATTACAGGGAATCCTCATGTTCCACCGTCGACAATTGTAGCTAAAATTATGGAGTGTATATTGCAAGACAATGTTTGTCGAGAGGAAGCCCTGATGAAAACTCGACACTCCATCGCGGATATGCGAAGCACGCCAGCCGTCCACGCTCATTTGGTTCGTGCCGCATTGCACAGGCAGACAACAAATTATTAGGAGGTCATTTTACTTATAAAAACAACATAGCCAGAGTCCTTACTTTAATAAATAGGATGCGATATTATGTAGTTTTAGCTTCGGAAAAAATATATATGTGTATAATATATATGTTATGCTCATTCTGACACGAAATATTTAAAAATTACTTATGTCAATAAAGATTAAAATAATTTGTATTCAATGGCGTCAGTTCTTGTATTCTCTCGCTGGTCCTTAACTATTTTTATGCCTATGGTTTGACCAAAAACGTTATTATTGTATCCTTATTCCCACTGTTTTATTATAAATAAAAATTATCTATATAGTTATTTTACAACAACTACTTCGCTTACACAAATCTTAACAAACGATGTATTGAGTACTAAAGCATCAGAATTAACAAATATAAGAAACATTTTATTTATTTGCCCCGTTAAACATTTATTTTGTGTTTTATTGCGAGTTAAGTTTAGTAAATAAATTTAGTAATAATATTAATTTAATTTTATGTTAACTAAATATGAATTAAATGCCGTTGGATAGACATTCTAGATTACACACATTCTAGATTATAATGTTTCAATCACCTTTTTAAAGGTTTAATATAACAGAACTTAAAATAAACATGAACACTACATAATATGTACTTACTTAAAAATTACATGCAATACCCCATTCAACTTAGGTACATGAGATTGTAAACAGGTTAATACTGGCACATAATTTTGTAATACTAAAGATATATGTTAAGAGATGTTTTTTCTACTTAAGGAATGGTGTTTTAGTTCACATTATTATTTATTACTAATACAAAATAAGAAATTTAAAAATGTTTATTTTGTAATAATTGCTAAATTATCATTAGAAATACAAAAGCAAAAATATATGAAATTTAATTGTGTAGTATAATAATTTTACGTGATTTTTGCATGTACGTACAACCTGTAAAAGTTAACTTGTGGAGTTTCAATTGCAACCTGTAAAATTTCGTTTTTAAATAAGTTTTTATCTAACCAATGAAATTAAACCCCAATACGTTTTCGCTAGCTATCCACAGTAGATATATTAGCGATGTATATAGTAGATTAGTGCCAAATGTCAAGACGCAAATTTAGCTAGTCAAACAAAGAGGTGTTGTTATAGGCATTTTAATAAATAATTATTATTTATAATTTTCAATTTTTATTCTCACCAGAATTGTAGAAAATCATACCAGGCCGGCAAAGCAGGTTATATTTATGTTGCAAATAAGTTATAATTTTGTTGAGTACATATTATATACATAAGTACATATTTTAAAATTTACTGTACAGAATGTTCATTTTTAAACTCTTAAATATAAGTAAATGATTACTTAAAGTTTTTTTTTATGACAGTGAAAACATTTAAGCAAGTTGCCAATAGCTTTTGCGAAGAGTTTTAGGTTAATTTACTATTTATTGTCTTGAACTAACACTAGATTAATATATAGATTTTTTACGATCGAAATCTTTGAACCCTGGTAAATTTAAATCTATATAATATAATAATTTTACTTAACAGAAATCTTGCACTCGATACACACACATAATTTCTTAGATCGGTTCAATGTTCAAAACAGGATCAAACTTTATTTGTATAAAGCGCTAAAGACAAACTCTCCTTAAGCACATAACTTACATGTTTATTTTTATACTTAAACTACAAAGGACTGTAGCAACAAACTGCCTAGACTGTGTGTATCAGTAATATTGAGAAATGTATGTTTACCTTGCCTCAAAATATATTGTTAGTGAAATTTAAAATTACTGTTTTTAGATTGAATGTACAAAAATTATTTTAAAATAGATGTTAGATAGGACTTAAATATTTTTTTAATTTTTGTGACTGTAAAATTTAATTTACAAAATCGTAAGTACCTATTGTGATTGGAATGTGCAATTTTTTTTAACATGAACTTAAACTTGACTTAACTTTGACTTAATTAACTTAAATTTGACTTAATTAGAAATAAATTATGTATGTGTAAGTTTTATTCGACTAGAATATTGAAATTTAGATAAAAACATATCTTCATTAAAATCTTAGGTGTCTATATTCTCTATAGTGGTAGACAGGGTTCCCTAACTAACGACCTTCAAGTTTATCTTCAAACATTTTCTAGGAAATATACACAAATTTTATCCATATTTGATACTTTTGAACGTCTAAGATTGATCTAACTTTTAAAACTTTTGTTAATTAAGATGATATATAGATATTTTATCTTATAAATTTATATAAATTCAAATATTATCATAATGTAGATTAAGTTAAATGTGTGATTTAATTGTGCATGCGTGTACAAATTATAGTTAGGACTGTTGTGTTATTTTATACTTAATATAAAAACCCTTTAGCACTTCACGTATTCACAAATAGAATAAAATATCAAATTTTGATTTAAAAATTAGAAATTTTAAATATAAAATTAGCTTTCTTTAAACATATTCTTTACGTCTATTTTTAATTTGAACATTCATTTAATTAATTTATTTTGCTTGCGGATTTAACACATTATATTATAATTCTCGTAAAATGTAGAATCCATTATGTCGTTACATACCTTCAGTCCACTTTTGTGTTTAATATTTAATTACAATTGAAAATTCGTTAATAATTCACATTTTATGTAAAATAAGTACCAATAGAAAAAGGAAGTAATCATAATCAACATTTTCAGTAATATTAATACGAGCTAAACAATTTGTTTATTGTTCTATGTATAAACATTTAGATATAGTTTGAGTTACTTGAAAATGTTTATATCTTGCGAAATATTTAAAGCGTTATGGATTCGGAACGAGTTTGTAAAAATATCACTTTTTTTTCTATTTAGTAATTATAATTATTAGTAAATCCGTGCCTTATTTTGAGCCTTTTTACGTGGTAGAGCCCACTCTCTCGTTGCTATGCCACTCTATGGTTGCAGCACGAATGGGTCGACTCAACCGATCCGGCGAACACATTCTTTACAAAATCTTGCTTAACGTAATATATTTCGTTTCGTTGGTGAGTACCATGTGGATATCGGACAATTTAATTTAAAATTTAGAGATGAAGCTTTTATGATATTTTTTGAAATAAATCCTAGAGTGAAAAAAAATGCTATTCAAATATAAATACTTACTAAAGATTTTTTACAATATAGGTATTTTCTCGAATAAAATATATTTTTCAGATGAGAGTAAGTAATGTTTTATGTAGATTTATGATGCGTGCTGTGAAATGTGACCCAAACCACTCTATTATAAATAGGCTATAAATACCAGCTAAAGCCAATAAATATTGTGTAATTTAATTTTACATTATGTTTTTAATATTATGTAATTTTGTATTTAATATTATGTAATTTAACTTAATTTAAAGTATAAAAAGTGTTCTCGTGTGATACTTAATATGTTCCGTTAATTGCTCATTAAATTAATATATATATATATATATATATATATATATATATATATATATATATACATGTTACATTATTTGTGGATATTGTTTTATGTGTGATTATTGTTGTAGAAATTGTAAGGGATCAAGACTAAAATAAAATAAAATGAATACAGCCAAAATAGTTTTATTTCTTTCGTTACTTACTTCAAAATTTATTATTTTTATATATAGGTACTTTGCTATCCAAATACCAAATATATCTTACTTTTATGCATAAGTAACATCAAAATACATCATAACGCATGACATACAACGTAACACAACTACGAGCTATTTATACTTTAATGTGACATTAAACATACAATATAATAAGTTACAGCGTTCACAGTTTATACGTCCCACTGCTGGGCACAGGCCCCCTCTCGCTTCTGAGAGGGTTTTTAGAGCAAGGAAATGTCCGCCACGCAGCTCCAATGTGTGTTGGCGAACTTCACATATCTTCGAAATAATATTTTTTCTTATTTCTCGGACATGCCGATGTCCGCACGATATTTTCCTTCACCGCAGAGCACGTGGTAAATCAGCACTTAAAATTGCAATTAACAATTTCATTGGTGCCGGCCGGGATCGAATCTGAGGTTACAATACAACAGCAAATATATTTTTTAAGTGGTAGAGCCACGCTACAGCTACTCGTATATCATGGCCGCAGCACGAATGGGTCGGCTCGAGTATCTGCACTTTTTATTCTTAACCGAGGAAAATTGTAGATACCCATGGGCCACAGCATCCACTTGCCATCGGGTGGACTGTGTGACAGTCACCCATATTCTATAAAAGTATATTCGAAGTGCAGTTTCTTTTTTTTCTCCTTGATAGCAATATCTTTTAGACGAGTAGTGTAATATTTAAATTAGAGTCCAACCGTTAGTAGTATGTGAGCTTATTGTACCATCCTCGAAAAAGCTCTCTTCGAATGCAGTATTTACGAAATTCGTCAAAACATAACAAAAGTGTAGGGAATGGAATCGCTAAAAACCACCTGGAAAGTAAAAATGTGAATAATTAATACTAAAGTAAACAAATTTAATACTCCATCTGGACAGATATCGCCCGCAGTGAGCAACAAAGATCATTAAATCATCAAGAGGCAATTGCAGAAAACGAGACGGGTGAAGTCGCTTCAATATTTATTTTATTTGTTTCAAAGCAAATATATCTTCGATTAAGAAGCTAATAGTATAGACGCGGGATAGGATTGAGCTACCACAGCCGATGTATTAAACAGTTAAAGTTATCTAACAGTCTAATTTTTTAAAGTCCATAGGTTGAGCCCAAAATAATAAATAAATTCGATTAATTGCAAGTATATTTTATCTTATTAATCTGTAAATCAGTTACTGCCGTAGGCCGTACCAGTAAATTCTCATTTGTAATAGACATTGACACAAATGCATGGATGCACAGTATGGACGCTGCCAACGTGTTCGGTTACAAGACAGAATGTATTCATGGCTTAGTACCGTTGCTGGCGTTCCACAAGGTGGCTTGTTATCTCCTCTCTTATTTGCACTCTTCATAAATTCCATTACTTCCAGATTATCTTCTCTCTACCACTTGCATGCTGATGATCTCCAGATATATCTACAAACCACCGTAGAGGATCTACCAAAAGCAATTTTGATATATAAATCTTGTTTATATCACAAATTGATTTTGGCAGATCCTAGCATGTATTCTTGACTGGAGCCGATCTTATGGGTTAACTGTTAATCCGATAAAATCCCAAACTATAATTATTGTTAGTTCAAGAATAATCTCTAAATTAAATAAAACTCAATTAAATCCCATAATATTTAATGGTGTTCAAATCTCCAAAGGACATAGTGAAAAACATGGGAATCTTGATAGATTCTAGCCTTTCTTGGTCTCCTCAAATCAACGCAGTGTCTGGTAAATGTTGTCCGAAGAATTAACTACTTCTTACCCATTGCACCAAAATTATGCTTGTTCAATCTTTACTGCTTCCCATCCTAGATTATGCTGACATAAGTCCTCGCTACCATAGAGAACGTTTCTAATTTCTCAGCTTCTCTCATAAACTTTCCCTTCGGTCCCTAGAAAACCTTTCCCTTCTATGTCCCTTGCACTCTTCTACTTTTTACAGTAAATCTTTTTCAGTTCTTGGAGTGAAGCTTTGGAATTCCTTACCATTAACTATAAAACGTGCTCAAACAATAGAATCCTCCCTCCTCCTTTCATCTCTTCCTGTCGTTTTATGATCACAAGTCTGTCAATTAAGTAAATTCCGGCATGTTTTTCAATTTACTTTTATACTTTAGACTAGCTGTTCCCCGCGACTTTGTTCGCGTAAAATTTATTACGATTGAATTCCATGGATTTGAATTTTTTTGTGAAAGACCCCAATTCTTTTTCTAAAATAAAAATAAGGGACTAAGTTACTCCTTATAACATCAGCTCTCTGCCAGTGAAAGTCCTGAAAAAATTAGTTCAGCCATTTTGCAGATTAGCCAGAACAAAAATTTTAAAAATTGTTTTTTTGTTTTGAAAATATTTCATGCTGTGCCCCGCGGTTTCACCCGCGTATATCACTTGTCTTGAAATCACACCTAGCTCATTTAGTTCAATCATTTTAGCTAAAAAATTGGCAAAATTAATGTAGTACTTTTATCTATCGGTATAATATGTACGTTTTACCGTAAAAATTAAATTTTATCCACTCTTTCTGTCTCCCTCCCGGATGAATGCCTCAGAAAGTGCACCAAAATGCGGCTTCTTCCAGTTTTAAAGATGAAAAAAATGATGGAGGTACGAAAAGATTCTTGATGAATTTTCTGTCAACCTTTCATACATGTGAAAGCGGTATCATTTATAGTTTTTGCGCAATCTGCCACAAAATATGAACATTTCTTATCTTTAATCGATTTTTTTGGTCAAAGTTTAGGTTCATTAAAATTTCCAACTTCACAGCCAAAATATGTATGACTAAAGTAAAGAATGGAATATGCTCTTTTAAAAAGAGGTACAAATTATTTCCTAACTCTTTCATTTCATTATGACAAAACTATTTATTTGAATAAGAATTAATACTGTGAATCGTAGAATTAATTCTTATTCAAATAAATACTACGATAACACTGTAACCGACTTTTGTTTCGACCAGTGTGGAGATCTAATTAAATAGTGATTTCTTATATTTACGCGAACACTACAAATTTGAAATGAGTGCTGTAAAGCGTTCGAAACGTCGGGTATTTAAAAAGTTAAATATACGCGATAAATTCCGTAAAAACTAGTATTATTTCAAGATCTAATTAAATTTTAGAACACAAAAGCTACTATTATGACAAAATTACGAAAGTAAGATATATTCCTTATGCGGACTTTTTGCAGGTAATAATGAGTACTTTATTCATGTAGCACATACCTAATTTTATATATCATCAAGTTTTCTCAGCGCACGCCAAATAATGAATTTTATAGGTAAAATTTTGCTACATTGGGTTACAATTTTCTTAAAGATCTCTAATTTTTTTGAAAATAAATTATAACCTATGTTACTTTGTGATTATTTAGCTTCCTATTGGTGAAAAAATTATTAAAATCCGTCTAGTTAGTTTCGGAGCGTATTCGGTACAAACAAACAAAAAAATATTTCTACTTGATAATATTAGTATAGACAATGATTTTTTCTTATTATTTTTTCTTTTTTAATTTTTATTAATATATTTAATTAGAAATATTATATTATTTGTAAAAAGATTATATCTACAAAACATAAGTCATTAAATTAATTAGTTTAGAGCTTCCCTGTAAACGACATTCGATGTTGTTTTATTTTGTGGCAGCAAAATATCCTTGGTATATGAGATAGTTGACCAATTGATAGGCCGGTGATGATGTTCGCTACAGTTAAATTTTGCTTCAATTCCTTAATAAGTAGCCTCATCCCATTGCACATGCTCGGGGGGCTTAAATTGCTCAAAAGCATGATTGGCGTTCCGATTTTTAACGTCAATTCATGTGGTGGCAGTCCAGAAGGGTTTAGAGAATTTAAAAATTCCTGTGGGTAATGGACTGCGTCTTCGATATTAGTCACTGTGTCGATTGATTTGTAATTTTTTATTTGGCCGGGGACTTGTAGAAAAATCAGATTGTTTATTTCGTTGACAGTATTATTCCTAGGCGACACTATTGCTCTAGAACCCAACCAATGAAAGTCCTTTTCGTGCAAATTCTCGATGTCAGGATATACTGCTTCCATTAAAATTTCTAAATTCTATTTGGCTTAGAGACTCGTCCAGATGGACGTCACAATTTCTGCTTAAATTTGGGGTGGGGAAATCTTCTTATCCAAGTTTTAGCAGCTCTTTTGGGAAATCACTATCTGTGATTACATGAATATGAGCGCTCATATTTGTCCTTAATTTTAAATTTTTAATCTAAGACCAAGGGAGACAATTTCAAGCATGCTTTGATGATATCTGCCCGCGTACCTCTGTTAATGACGGCAAAAGTCTGTCAGAAATCTCCTGCAAATAGAAGTGATCCCGCCCATGAGAGCAGAGGAGTTTCTAAGATCTTTTAAGGTTCTGTGCACGGCCTTTATATGTGCTCTATAGCTGGCTCATGGTGCATTGATCCCACATAATCAATGAGGCGTCTTGTAGTAATTTAACAAGTGGCCCATTTTTGTGGATAGAACATGTAGATTGTTGCTCAAGAATTACGGATAACGAAAGTTTAAAAGTATAATGAGCAGCTTTTCCATCCTTTAAGAGAGTTGCAGCAATTCCTGACGAAGTAACTGCCTCGCTATCTTCCCCGATTGTCGTATCTTAGCAAGTATCAAATAAGGAGCGCGAACTTCGAGAGAGGCATCAACACGGATGGTTGCTGAATTAACAAAGATTTAAAAAGTGAAAAAGTTTACTTAAATTACACGGTTAATGTAATTGGTGGTTATGGATGGTATGGGCACTGATATAGCCTTGAATACGAATTGATTTATTTTAATATAACGATTAATACCAAGGTACGAATAATGTGGTCTAGTTTGTACCGGCGTTACTATTGCATATATTAACATGAAAAAGTAGTTATTGTGACATAACTGTCATAGTTAGATATTTGATATCGCAGATTTTTTTTGTAGATATTGATGCCCTCTATAAGACTATTGTACTTCACTTTGCTTTATTGTCAACAGTTTCCGCAGCGTACGCGATATACGGATTTTTCGTCGTTACTATTGTATTTTTTATCATGAAAAAGTAGTTATTGTGACATAACTGTAATAGTTAGACATATGGTATCGGGGAATCTTTTGTAGATATTGATATCTTCTATAAAACTGTAGTGCATCACTTTGCTCTACTGTCAATAGTTTCCGCAGCGTATGCGATATAAGGGTTTTTCGGCGTTACTATTGCATATTTTAACATGAAACAGTAGTTATTTTGACATAACTGTAATAGTTCGACATATGGCATTGGGAACTTTTTTGTAGATATTGATATCTTCTATAAAACTGTAGTACATCACTTTGCTCTATTGTCAATAGTTTCCGCAGCGTATACGATATAAGGGTTTTTCGGCGTTACTATTGCATATTTTAACATGAAACAGTAGTAGTTTAGTAGTTTTGACATAACTGTAATAGTTAGGCATATTGGTTGGTATTACGGAGTTTTTGTAGATATTAATATTTTCTATAAAACTGTAGTACATTACGTTGCTCTATTGTCAATAGTTTCTGCAGCGTACGCGATATAAGGATTCTTTTGGTATTTTTTCACGCCGCGGATTACATTAAAGAAGTTTTCATACGGATCCCTAATTTGTTGAAAATATACTATGGCCTATGTTCATCAGGGATAATTTAGGATTCCAATGGTGAAAGAATTTTTCAAATCAGTCCAGTAGTTTTGGAGCCTATTCAATACAAACAAACAAATTTTTCCTCTTTATAATATTATAAATAAATAATAATAATAAGTTATAAGTTAAGTGTAGATGTAGATTATAATATTTCTTATAGTGTACTCAACCCATTAATTAACTTTCCACTTATTTTTATTTCCTATTTAGGTTAATTGGAAGAAATTGCTGCATAGCAATAAGACTGCCTTTTGTCTTCCTCTTTGTTTGGTTCTTGTTATGTTATTTGTTTTGTGTACAATAAAGGGTCTTATATTGGCATTAATATAATTCATATCATCAGGTTTAAATTATCACCATCTTAATTTTATTACGTGACCTATATTAGGAGCTACTCTGCCAGTTATTGCTTAAAACCAAAGCTATATATTATCTTACAAAGAAAACTCCAAAAATCAAAAAAATTCTTATTCTTAGATTAGTGTTCTAGAGCTCGGGCTCCAACTATAACTGAGCGAGTGTGTGTATTTAATTGAATTCAAATTTATTCGTACTAGAACCATGCTGCGGTTATATTAGTAGTATAGTTATAGCACGAATGGGTCGGCTCGACCGGGGTAGGACCACGCTCTCGCAGAATACCAGCGCAAAATAGTAGCTTAATGCTGCTGTGTTTCTTATGGTGAGTGTAGAGAACCGGAGACCCTTGTTAGTGGAATCGAGACATCCCATCTTAGTCCTCACGGGTGACAACGCATCTGCATTTTGATTCGTAATCGAGGATAGATGTAGATGTCTATGGGCCACAGAAACCACTTACCATCTAGTGGACTGTGTACTCGTTTGTCACCGTATCCTATAAAAAAAATTAAATTAATTATTTCAAGTATATCGCTGAATTCAAACTCTTACCAAGGAATACTTAAAATAGTTACAAGCTAAAAGGAATCAAGATGCGATATGTAACATATTATCAGTTACATATCGTCCCGCGGGTATCGTAAGAGGCAACAGAAAATAACAGTCGATATCAGTAGCAGGAGATGGGTAGCAATATTTTCTCTATAACAACTCAATATAATAAAAAATGTGGTTTCCAAAGCTTTTGCAAAATCCGCCCTATGAGGCAATCTATCGTGGAGGCCTATGAACAGCAGTGGACTATTATAGGCTGTAATTTATGGATGGAAATGTTAAACTGTCATCTATGAGAGATTTTCTCTCTCTCTCTCTCTCTCTCTCTCTCTTTCTCTCTCTGCTCTGAAACTCACTGCGTCTAATGGGTTGATAGTTGTTCTAATGCCGCAATCACAAGTCATGCTAACAATATGTGTAATGTATGCTAAAGTTTGTCGTGATTTTTGGACTCACCATTGAAAACGCAACGGGTACGTGCAAAAAAAGTCGTTAAGCACCGGAACATAGCAAAGAACACAAGCCAGTGCTAGTTCGAATACTAGTCCATAATTCAACACTTTATTTTTCATGCCTGAAAAGAAAAATTATCAATGATTTCTCAAGAGCTAAAACAAGATAACCATTGAGTGCTTGGTTAATTACCACGGGCTAAGATCAAAGTTTCCCTGTGTAGTAAATCCAGATTAAGAAAATTTTACTATTTTTGGAAAAAATTTAAAAACTTCTTTTATCTAAATTCTAAATTCAAATTTTAAAGACACTATCGATTTTTTGACATTTTCGCATTATAATTTTTCTAGGTATTTTGTGCAAAGAGGGCATCCATGACTTATCATACACATATGTATGTACACCTTTGGCGTGAATGTTATTAGTTTTTTTATTTTTATAACTAATTATTATGTAAAGATCATTCAAATAAAAATGTAAATGCTATGAAAGAGTGGAGTCTCCTAACACAAGTTTTTATCCTTAAATGGAGACCCCATCCCCGGTTATAATTTATGTATGATCAATGATCATCTACCGATTAAACTATTTTTATTGTATTTTTATTTTTTTATATTTTATTATTCTAGCCGCTCAATTTCAACATCGCACATCGGAACAAATCTCGCGTACCATCTGTTTGATTTGCGGTCCACCACTGTGCGATTTTTGATGAGTTTTTTTCCTCGTACAACTAACTCCCTTGTGGAATTGACTACCAGCAGTAGTTTTTTTTTCGGATCGATACGACTTAGGAACCTTCAAGAAAAGCGCCTACTCTTTTTTAAAATGCCGGCAACGCATCTGCAATTCCCCTGGTGTTGCGGTTGTTCATGGGCGGCGGTAATCACTTAACATCAGGTGAACCGTATGCTCGTTTGCCCCCTCTTCTATATAAAAAGCGTCATATTAATAACAAGTGGAAAATTATAAGCTGCTCTTGCGAACCCTATGGCGACTATGCCAAACTTTCCCCTCGTGAGGCAACCCATAGAATACTATAATACATACATGCCACTAAAATGCCACTAACACGTCAGTTCACACATATAAATGTCAACACGAGATGTGTTTTGACACTACAATCGTTACCAAATTTCGCATGCAAATTATTTAGAAAATGCCAAATGGCACGCTATTTACAAATAAATATGTATTAACATCCGTCTGTCAACACAGCGAATCGGGTTTGTAGTAGTGATTAATTGATAATACGACGTAATTGCTTGTATGTGTGCTCCTGGCGACGCCTTTTCTCGTACAAAATAAGGTTGACAGCCATTCTATCGTGTATTAGAGTATTGTATGAGGCAATCTAAGGGGAGGCCTATTTTCAGCTGTAAACTTTAGTAGGCTGCAATGAAATCATGAATGAAAAAGGTGGTTTTAACGTGGTAGAGCCGTGCTGCAACCATAATATAGCTTACACCAAAAACATATATCATCTGCGTTTCCATTCTTAATCAGGAAAAGATATCTATGTTCCACAGTAACCAGTTACCATCAGGTAGACTACTTTCCTTTGTTGCCAGTCTATTAGAAAAAAGTAAGTTCTTTTTATAGTTTTTTTTTAATCTGAATCGGCTTTTATGTAGATATTATCATATAGAATGGTAATGTCTATCAAAATTATTCTTGACTACCCGGACTTTCACCATAGTGTTTCAGTGTTCAGTGCTTTCTAGTAAGGCAATTACAGATCCACAAAATCTTATTTCAGAGCAAGCTTTTGGTATGGAATCTTGGCAACTAGGTCGTGTCTTTGTGCTAGTAATCGCCGAAAGTCTTAATAACCTGAGCTATATCGCACAGACAAACATCTGTTTCCACATAAATGTCACCGAAACGCAGCCAGTGAAGGGAAGAGTCTTATTATGATAATGTAATATTATAACAGGTAATGATGATTAATATCTGAAATATGACTTTACCAACGTCTAGTAGCGAATTATATCTAGTTTTGCATATAACACCATTCATCATTTGCGTAACGACAACAGCAACAAAGTACGTCGCCTGGCAGGCGCGCTCCAACTCTTTACGCTCAGCGTAAGTCCACTCCTGGCCTAAAGAGTCTCGTAAATCGCTTACAGCTTCATTGTCCCAACGTTCTCGGATTCCTTAAATATTAATATTTTTACTTATATAATCATATACAATATTATATCAGTACTGTGGACTGTTTACCATAATCAAACGCATTTTTTTTAAAGTGAAAACTTCTTTGGAATCGTTGTGATTTGAAACTCGATGAAACTAAAAAGAGACAAACATATATATCTATAGGATTTAGCCTGCGAAAGAATGAGATGGAATACAACGTAGGCCACAACCTCAAAGGGCTGTGGTCCTTGTCTTTTTGAAGTGAAAACTTTGTGATTTGAAAATTTGATGAAATGAAAAAGAGACACTAAAAAGAGACAAACATATATGTATATGTATAGGATTTAGCTTGCGAGAGAATGAGATAGAATATAGAGTAAATCGCGACCTCAAAAAGTTGTGGGTTCAGATCTGCCTTTCGACTACTGCCTTTTTTGTCTTTTTTAATATTAAATTATACTTCTTTATTTAATTTAAAATATTAACAAATTTATTAAATAAATAAAATTAACCATGTTGAATAAAATTATCTTAATATACCAATTCATTTATACCAATCCACAATTTTATTAATTCATGCCATCTAGCGTCTACGTTCGATAAAAAAAATTGTTGGATAAAAAGACTTTACCAAAAGAATGAAGTAGATGGCGCTAATGCGATCAATTTTACTGGAACGAAAAAACTTGATTTATTACACTAAAAATAAGTAAAATAATAAAAATAATAAACTTTTATCTTATATTTTATGCTGCACTTGTAGTTGAAAATGATCATAATAAATAAATAATTTGCCGTGAAATATTTTTATTTTAAATTTCATTTAATTTGAAGGTCACTTCATGTTTTTCACACATGTTTTTTTATTTAATTGTAATGAACAGTTGGCTAACAAAATTTACATGCAAGGGAGATGTCATCTCGTTTCAATTTCTAATCTCACATACACTGTAGCCAGACGGACAAGATCTGGCGAACGACTGGTGTCCAAAAATCCTTTCAAAAACTGTCGCGTATCGCCACTAATCGGGACACAGTATATACGGGCACAGTGTAGATCTACACTATGGACATATTATAAAATGTACGCTGGGTTGACACCGGTGGTAACCTAAGACGCGCTGCGAGCTTATACAACTTTCTCTAACCCTTTGATTCCTTGCGAGAGGTTCAAAGTTGGTCAAGAGGGTCGAAAGAAAACCGCACACTAACTGTGAAAACTTCCGGTTTACTTACCCACTTCCAACTTTCTTCCAATTGCTTATACTTTAGCTCTCCTCACAATGCATGCCAACACAAAATTTTAAATTACGCATGTATTTTAATAAGAAATTTATGAATTTGCTAGGTAATAGTGATATCGCAAAATTCTACTGCTGGAAGTACACGTATACACCTAAAACCATTTTGATGGTTGCAAGTGATTTTAAACGCATAGGTGTATGTGAGTGCCTAAATAGAGAAGTTGCATTAATTTTTTCCCCACATATTTATAATACATTTTTATTAACAATGTCCTCCTTTTTTTAGTAATTATTAATAAAACATAGTAAAATTTTTGAATGAAAAAACAAACGACTTATGATTAGTTGTGACGTCATTATATCCGTCATTGAGCTATTACGAACTACGTACTAGAGGCGACACTGCATTCAGCTACTCTGTTCCACTCAACTGCAGTGCATACACCGCACTTTAATCAGTCACTAGCTAGGCGTATAATAAGTATATACAGGACTTGTAGAGTTGTCACGTGTTGGATTTAAAAAAATCTCTTGATAAAAATATACCGTCGTGTGTACTTAGATATTGCACAAATAATTCAAGAAATGTCAGTAAAACCAAGGAATTACTTTTCATCGGTTAATAAGATACTTAATTAATAAAAAAGTATTATAGAACAATAATAAAACAAATTATTCCTAAGACGCCATCTTGTGTCATGGAATATAGATTATGAAATTAATATGTTCAGATGCGACATTTCTGTGGGTGCTTAAGTATAGGACGAATATAATATTATTATACACATTTTTTGTAGAAACATATAAGTTATTATAATTAGGCAAAATGTTTCAGTTTTCAATCTGCTTATTATTCTTTCATTTTATTTTTAGGCTTCCACATCAATGGTATGGTATAAATTCGTCTATTTTTAACTCTCGCGTTCCCAGCATTTATGAACGACTTTTATTCTAATTTAAATAAATATATTTGTAATTTAAATGTTACATTAATAAGTTTTATATATATTTATAGTATATTTGACATAGATAACTTTTAAAATATTCAGATAAAAATATCATTAAAATGTAATTGTGATATAATATTATTTAATAGTATATTAAATAAGCAAATATAATATACAAAATAAATGACAAATTTTAAATATTGTTCTCGATATAATTTACCTATTTAACAATACAATCTACTATTACCTACGGGTCATTCTACCTACGTTTATTCTATGATAAAAAAACAACCGCGCGAACACAGAGTAGAGTACATTTTTTGTTTTTGGATAGCTGTTCTAATACGTAGGTACATATTACTTCAATGATATCCGTTCAATCATTATATCCGTAAGGCTATGAACCATGGAGTGTAGAGGTAAGGAGAACCGCCTCACATGGAGAATAGTTTAAAAATTATCCATCTGTAAGCAATAAACAGTTCAAAAACTCTCCACAACAGCGCTAAAGTAACCAGAGGGTACGAAATGAACTTAGCAGTTGTCGACGGAGTGAAGTGTGCTGAGTTGAAGAATTTGATATGTGTGGTGATTAGAGTAGCTGATGAAACTGCTGTATTTAAAAACTCAACTATTTACGTTGTCTAAAATAATTTTGTAAATATAACCTAGAAAAAGTCGCCGTGAAACACGTTAAGAGTGATTTTGATTATTTTATATATACATATATATATATTTATATATATATATATATATATATATATATATATTTGTATTATGTATCGTCAATTTGTATTTTGTCAAGAAATTGTGTTTTCTCCTTTCACGATGCGATGGTGTTACTAAAGCGAGGTATTGAAGTCACTGGCGTTTGAATTTACATTTTAGGAAAACCATTTTTATTGTAAAATTACATGAAAAATCAATTGTACAAAAAATTTTTTTCTTAGTAATTTTAAGTAAACTTTAAAAAAAACATGCAAATTCTCTATTATAATGATTAATTTGAATTAATTAAAATTGTAAGATATTTTATATACCGAATAAATCTGTAGGATAAAATCCATGTTCCGCCATTACAGTGAAATAAGCAAACATTCCGGAAGCGAATTCGATGAGACCTAGGTGACCATACACGAGTGTCATCATGCGCGAGGAGACAAGAGGGTCCGACTGCCGTGGCGGCCGCTTCATTACGTCGGATTCTGCTTGTTCATATGACAACGATACGGCTGGCCACATATCAGTACCGAGGTCCACGCATAATATCGTCATTACGCCTAAAAATAGTAAACTAATCAGCTTTAGAATCTCATTTATTTTATGTCAAAATATTTTATTCGAGACTACTTTGAAACCTCTACTGATTTTTTAATTTTTTTTATAGAATAAGGGTGACGAACGAGCACAAATTACACCTAACAGTAAGCGGAAGAATGGCGCTAGTAGAACATACCTTATCACTTTGCGCTTAAGGCATGCAATAGTATAGAAAAACATTTTTTTAATAAACACAATAAAATATAATCAAATAAAAGCAAAATAATATTTGCGGCTCCGGGTGTACCGACAACATCTTTTTTTTATAGAATAAGGATAGCAAACATGCACATAGTCCACCTGATGGTAAGTGGACGCTGTGGCCCATAGACATCTAGATCTATCCTCGAAATGCAGATGCATTGTCACGCCTGAGGATGAAAATGGAATGCCCCGTTTCTCGAAAAAAGTGTCTCCGGATCTCTACACTCACCATACGAAACATACGAGTAGCAGCATTGAGCTGGTAACTGGTATTCTGACACTGCGTATTCCTTCCGCGGTCGAGCCGACCCATTTGTGCTACAACCATAATGTAGCAGCAGCATGGCTGTATCACGTAAATTATTTTTAGATTAGAGGCGGTAAGAAATTTTGGGAGGGCTCTATTTTATTTTTTAGTGGTACCACTCCGTTTCGCATTGTTATAATAATACTGCCGTCATAAGAGGAGTTTTGTTTCTTAATTTTTTATTAACTAAAAAAGAATATAGACCATTTTATGGTAAGACCAGCATCTATCTTCGTTATAGAACACATGACAGTAAGCGCCTTGTTACCCCTTTCTACTGGATGTATGCGGAGTTTACTGTAATTTAGTCTTTGATACCGTAGAAAGTACAGAATATAATGGAGTTTTTGGCGGGAACTTGGCCGTAGACGGATTTTCGCTCCTGTTTTGTCGCTTGAATAATGGTCTAAAGTGGATTTTGATTCGTAAAAGTGATGCGATTTTGTTAATTAAGTGTCCGCGCGTGTGAACTATTAGAGAAAATGACGAAACAAGTGCTTTGATGTCGATATAAACCTCAAGTTATTTTGATCGCTTGGGCGCCTTATGAACTTTAGTGGCTGTCGTCATCAACTGTCCGCTAGGTTGAGCTGTCGTCAAAGTCTCCCAAGGGCTTCGCAATGTGACGCATAGTATATTGTGAAGAAAAAGAATACAAAATGAAGATTCCAAAAGAAAGGATAGACTCAGAAGGTCTAGAAACCAGAGCCGTAAAACCAGTTAATAAAAAAAACCAGAATATAATGTAAGGGATACACCGTCAGACAGCCGGTGACAATTACAACAATCAAACCAGAAACCAATTAATTCGTGTATTGGAACAAATGTTGGCTTCGGTTTGGAGCTTATAATTAGCGACGTAAATGCTAGAATTAATTACTTAAGGTGTATAATATATCATTAGTAAAACATTGTGTCATTTTTTTCCAAAAGTATATGGAATTTTATCTACCTAATGGCAACGGTACGGAAAACAATATAAACATCAAAACGGGTAGAATTTCCGGCACGTTTGATATTAATATGTAGCACACGGATTTCTTAAGATTGTCAAATATTTTGCGACCCTCTTCAATCCCTGTTACTATGGTCGCAAAATTGTCATCCATTAAAATGATATCCGCTGTCTGTTTTGATACCTGAAAAATAATAACTAATTCTATCATTGATTTATATGTTACACTAGATAAGTAATTTCCGCGCCAAAGCGTTGTCACTTCACATAAGGCCACAGCCTTATACTCAGCGAACGTCGGTTCAGTGTTCAAAGGTGACGCCGTCCGAGTTAAGCCGAACGATTCACAACAAAAAATGGGTAAATGTGTAGTGAAAGAATGCGTTTCAAGGTCACAAAAACATAATATATCAAGCGGAATCACTTTCCATACGTCAGTTTTAATTTATATATTCATATTAACGTTTAAAACACTAAAAAATTAAAAAAAATATCGAATATTGCAATTTAGGTTCAATGTTGCCACTTTTCCGCCTTTGTGATTTTTCCACATTAATGGGAGACTGTATAATTTATGGAATAAGTTAATTTTGTTTTAAAATAAACAAGTAAAATTGATTGCTTAAAAATAAAAACTATGTTTCAACCTTTATACAAAATAATTATTCTTATTTTATTTTATTCATGAATTATCTATTAAATATATTTTACTACCTTATATCTTATATTAATAATTTTATATTAAATAAAATTTCATATAAATTTTATATTAATTATATTTCACTACCAATTTTATATTACTTGATTTATTAGTACAGTAAAAAATATTTATAAAAATATGTTTTATTTCATCATTATGTACTTCTAACTCATCTGATAAGCTTTGTATTCTTTTTTTCTAAGGGGACGCAATAAAGATTTTAAAATAAAATATACTTTCTTAATATAAAAACAATTAACTGAAGCTTAAAAAAACTCATTTTTATTGCGTATTTTAGGTAAAATTTTATATAGTAAGCCACACCAACCCGCCATTGCATGTTTGTGTGTCTATCTTTATCTAATTTTAGCGACGATATTGTCTACGTAACTTGTGTAAGTGAGATAGATATATGTTTATTTAAAATTGTTATTAGTTTCAAAGCTACGTCGTCGCGTTTGGATAGTGGTTACACATTTTTCGACGCGCGGTAATGTGGTTTGCTCCTCTAGTGTTGTATAACTCAATGAATTCTATGCTATAAATTGAATCTTCGATATTAAGGAGAAAAAATTAGAATGGAATAAACTCATAAAATTCCTTATTGCACACACCGATACATATAAGACAAAAACAAAAATATATAGGGATATTATGAAATAAACAACAGTATTTGGAGTTATGAATACTTAACTTTTGAATGGGCAGATTGGAACTAAAGCTCTAGAGACGGAAATCAAAGATCATATATAATTTGTTATAGAGATATCCTTTAGCTTAATAAGTTTCGACGCTTAGACCATAATTTTTTTTAGGTTTATTAAATATATATGCGTTCCACTGCTAGGCATAGGCCTCCTTTTGTGAAAGAGATATGGGGCAATTAATCAGACTTAGAGTGTCTTCGAAATGTTTTTATTCCTTAGAAATGCAGGTTTCCTTACGATTTTTCCTTCATCGACGAAGACATATATCAGCACTTGAATTGCTATTAACAATTTCATTAGTGCCGATGGAAATCAAACCCGCGTTGGTTGCAGGTGAAATAGTTAACCATGGCTACCCTCAATATTAAATTATTATTTTATGCTCCGATCCACGCAGAAAGAACTTATAGTATTTTGAAATTTTGCATTGGTGGCACACCACATGGGTAAAGGATTTCATTTTTATTAACAAACCGTATCGTGGCGATTCAAGAATATCCACTACCCCATAATATGGTCGAGTGTGCGTCGTAAGTGGCTCATAGAACTAAAACAAGAGATGTACAGCATTATCTTCTTGACAACAAATCAAAATAATAAAAACTGCTGTTGCCAACCCGTCTGCCACCGTGGTAACTATGGCAAAATATCCAAAAGGAGGCAATCTATGGGAGAGACATGTGTTCAGCTGTGGAATTTTATAGGCTCTAATTGGTGTCTTCTGCTTCCTCTAGGATGTACCGATGTAGCGTGTAGTGGCGGTTTAAGAATATTCACTACCTCATAATGTCTTTCTGTGGGTCTCGTAAGAGGCAACCCTGGGCCTATGTTCAGCTGTGGACTTTTATATGCTAAACTGGAATGGATCTACAGAATTCTAAACAAAGGGTAGCATCCAGGCATCTCCTGTATTGAAATAAGGATGCTTTTTGATTTCAATAGTCCCAGAAATCTGATGGCTGATTTACGCAGGGTCAGTAACTGGCTCCGAATTCGCGGCAAGTCAGTGCTGATACGACACTGACACTGTAAATAGATTTGGAGTCAGTACAACACTGCCGCGCCCGTGCTGACTTCACTTTGAAGTCAGTCCACTAACTCCGCCACTCGCGCCTACGGTATTGACCTTGTCTAAACGGCCAAATCACTACTTGGTCATGGTCGGTCGATGGCGCTGCGTCGTATGGAAAATTCAAGCGAAAATTACGTGAAATTCAACACCAACGAAAACATATGATTGGTTCAATATTATGGCGAAAATGAATGTCTATGAGATATGAAATATTTGCAAAACCATTGCAAAACATTTTCCATCAAATGAATATAGAAGGACGAACCCTACCGAAGTTAAAAAAAATTAAAGCCATAAAGTCTACGTATTACTTCGAGAAAGAGAAAATACTAAAATCGTTCTAATATTTCCGTCAACTCTTTCAACAGCAGATAGGAACATTTTCCAAATAAATATTTCAATCGTTGTAAATTCTGCCGTTTATGTGATTTTTTTATCCACTAACTTCAATAGCGTACGTACATCGTAAAGAAGTTACCACGACTAATGACTACGTGTAAACAGTTCGTGTCAGTCTGACTGACAGACCCTGTGTAAATCAGCTTTAATGGTGGGTATGATCCTGTACGTGTCCCCAGACTGCAGACTTTCCGGTCTCAAAGTCAGTAAACACTAATTTCATTTAATATGTAGTATTCGTATGTAACGTTATGTTCACAACTAAGTGCAATTAAAAAAACATACCTGTGAACCAGTTATACCCATAGAAATACCAATATCAGCTCGTCGCAGCGCTGGTGCATCGTTTACTCCGTCACCAGTAACTGCCACTACACTGCCGTGTCTCTGACACGCCTCCACTATTTGCAACTTTTGTGTTGGAGACGTCCGAGCAAATACTAAAAGTTTACAAAAAGTTCATTTTAAATTTGTGTACTCTATTTTACTTCTTAACCTGTAAACGGCCCGGTGTTGAACTGTCTCTACCATAATCACCATGTTTGGTAGGCGGGTTGCCGTTTGGGGACATTACACTCGAAGTTATTACGTTTACTTATAACAATTTGAATATAAGTCCGATTTCGATCAAGAGGTCAAATAACCATGGAGAGTGCTCTGAGGAATTGTTCGGATTAATCCCAGCCGCCAAATTTCGTGAACGCACTACGCGGCAAACGTCCCGATACCATCCACACCATCTGGATGCTTGGCGGTCCACCACCGTACGTTTCAAGAGGAGTTTTCTTCCGCGTACAACCTCTCTGTGGAATAGTTTACCACCAGCGATTTTTCCGGACCGATACGACCTGGGGACCTTCAAGAAAAGAGCTTACTCCTTTCTAAAGCGCCGGCAACGCACCTGCAATTCCCCTGGTGTTGCGGTTGATCATGGGCGGCGGTAGTCACTTAACATCAGGTGAGCCGTATGCTCGTTTGCCCCCTCTTCTATAAAAAAAAAATATTTAATAAGTTACCCACAGAATTAAAGGAATTAATTTACAATACAGAAAAATGTTTATATTCAGTGTCTGAATTGGTGTTAAATAAGAATTAATAAATATAATCAATTATTTTAGCCATAAGTTAACGCTCTGACTTTATATTCCTAAAAATTGCTTTCATTACCTACATAATATTGAACTGAATTTAATCTTCACCAATTAATTGTTTTATTATTTTTTACATTTAAATTTATTATTCTACTTCGACAATTATTAATAATGAGTTGTGTTATAATTGAAAATTATAAATGATATAGTTTATAAATTGAGTTCGATTTTAACTAATTATATAATCAATATTTCTATGTATATTTATTATGTGCGCTATGTAATTTCAAACACAATGCAATTAATAAATAAATAAAAATGAAGATATATAATAAATTCGTGACTTAAAGATGTGTGGAGACCGTTTTGGTGCATATTTAATTTTTTTATTGTAATGAAGGTAGCAAATAAAGGTGTATCTTTCTTAATAAGCCGGCCATGTAGCTCAAATTACCGACTGCCGATGGGAAAGCAATGTTCTCAAGTGACAACCTCGTTAAGCGTTTAAACGCACTTTGGGATGGAATGACAACTTGATAAAATCTACATAGTCCAGGACCATGTTTTATGGGCAGGCCTATATACAGTGCCTGATTTAGAGTTCCGACACCCTAGGCTAACAATATATATGCCCCCCCCCCCACCCTATCCAACGGCCTGTTCTGTCTGTCTATGACCAGCCCACGTATATATTTACTAGCTTTCTACCCCGCAGTTTCGCCCACATTAAATCAAATTTTCCTAATTGTCGATCATCGCCCATGCACAACTGCAACACCAGTCAAATTGCAGGTATGTTTTCCGCCTTTGTAAAAGTAGTAAGCTCGTTTCTTGAAAGTCCCTTAGTCGTAACGATCAGGAAAAATTGCCGGTGGTAGATAATTCAACAAAAAAAAGTCTTGAGGGGAAGAAAACTCAGGTGGCGTGGAAGTAACTACTCTCCGTGGAAAATGTTGTAGATAATGCAAAGGGATGCAACATCTCTTCGCAGCGCTAGTGAATCGAGCCGATTAGAAAGAACTCGTTCGTCGACAATTCGAGCCATTCTTCGCTGGATGCGGTCAAGTGGAAGGAGCTTGCACTGAGATTCTCCAGTTCAGAGATTTCATGTGAGTGCCAACTTGCATCTTATAAAGTTCAAACCGTGTGCCGGAATGAAATACTGTCACGCTTTATAAAGGCCTACTCTTCCAAGTGACTGCAGAACTGTACGTCATTCGATATGTCGATGCCGAAAATTCCGATGCTGACAGAGGCAGCATGGAAAGTGGCCTGAAATTGAGGCCACAATAAAAGGATTCTTTTTAGCTGTAAACGCGCAAACTTGTGTCTTCTAAAGTTTAAACTGGACTAGAGTCGTCCCCAATACGAGATTTAGTTTATTAAAGACTCAACTTCAGACATAAGTTTGGTTCGATGACGTGTCCAAGAGAAATATAGGTACGCACGGACGGCGTAAAAAACATCACCAATGTTAAAACCATAATAGATATACAAAAGAAACAGCGTAGGTGATAGCACACAGCTTTGTGGAACACCAGAATTAATAGGCTCGCAGTCAGAGTATGCACCGTCTACTACGACCTACCTTGATGCTCCGACCTGCAAGAAAATTGATGTTACAATTGCACGATTTCTCGGGAAGTCCATAGGGAGGAAACTTCTAAAGTAGCGTCTTATGCGAAAGCCCATCGAAGGCGTTCGCTATGTCTAAATTAACGACCAAGGCCTCCCTCCTGGCTCCATTGCTTCCTCTCATCTATTCGTCAGGCAAATTAGAAGCTTAGAACTTCCTTTTGAGAAATCGGTTGAACTAAAGCTGTTTTCCATAACTTCAGGATTACGCCTAGGAAGTAGGCGTACCAGAAAGAACGCGTTAAGAACCGGTGCTATATCCGGAGCCCGAGTGTGCTTTGTTGTAGACTTGTTGTCGTCCAGGGAGGAGAGTGTTTTGCACACTAAGCGCTGTGTAAACCGCAAATCCAGCATGGAGCAATCACTCCGCGGGATGGTCGGCAATGTGTTTAAGGAATCTAAAATCTATTTCTCTTTTGCGAGTCAATGCGTCGTTTTCCCTGTGCAGAGATGCAACAGATGGCTGACAAAAGTTCCTTTAGACAGCCTTGGCAGTAAATATAGGCAATAAAATCAGAGGTAGAGAAGAGAACTTGAGCATTTTCAAATCTTAAAATTACGTCCAGTCTGTCAGCGAAAGACGAAAGGTACCAAATAATTGAAAGTCTTATTTTTACAATCTATTTATATATTTTTTGTATCAAAAATAAAGAAAGAGCAAGAAGTAAAATACTTGCGGCACGTAATCTTTAATTTATTGAGAATATTATACCAAATTTTATTCTGTACATAAGCGGTGCTTGCAAAGGCAAGCTCAGCGTTCCCTCGAACCGTGCCTCAGCTCCAGCCTTATTAGCCTGTGGGTAAATCAGGCCCGGCCTATATTCAGCAGTGTACTTGTGAAGAGGTACAATAATGACGATCATAGTATGAATTTTACAAATAACAACCGAAGTTATTAGATACTTACAAAGATTTCTAGAAAATTCTGGCGTGAGGGTAACGTTTTTAAAAAAATAATGAGAGATATTCATAATATACTAGTAATACAACCGTACCTATTTCATAATGCTTCTCAAGAGTTAAATAAAGAAGGTCAGGATTCATATTTCTTAAATCGTTGCCTGTAACTACGTGGCAGGTGGCAGCTGTAGCTATGCCCACCTCCACCGCTATGGCCTTCGCTGTTGCCGGATGATCACCGGTCACCATCATCACGCGGACACCTGCAGCACGCACACGCTCTATTGCGCTTTTAACCTGTGTCCCGAAGGTTTATTAAAATTAAAGCTATTATTTATGGTCTATTTTAACAAAGCTCCATCCAACATAGGTTATTATTTGACAGGCTGTGTTTAGTTTTAATAAATTACCTATAAAAAGTTTGCTTTCATTATCTGTACATAAAAAAATCAATTGCAGTCTGATAGTCTCGCCGAAGCTTAAAAACCGACAAACATGATTTTGATGAAATTTTGTGTGTTTTTGAGTGGGTCCCTAGATGGTTTAGGTTCAAAATTGGACCCGATAGGTGGCGCTGTTGTCGAGATCCCGAAATAACCTGTGCAAAACCGGGACGGATCGTTAGTGTAATATGATATGGATTCAAATATTTTTTACATTTTAGAATCGATTTTAGTGCAATAATATTTGGTTGTAAAAGTAAATATAAAATTATGTACGTCCCACTACGAGACACAAGCCTCTCATTTCTGAGAGGGTTTTAGAGAAAGGAAGTGTTCACCGCGCTGCCTCCATGCGTTTTGGCAAACTTCGACATAATTATTTTTTAAATAAATGCAATCCTAACAAATGCCTTACATGTCCAACCACAACCATCATAATATAATAAAAATAAGCTTTAGTAATGTTTTGGTGTTTGGTACGAATGTATAATACGAGTATACCAAAAATAATATGGTGTTAGTAATGAATGTAAAGTGAAAGTGTAGTGCAGTACGGGTACCCTGTTTTATTGCTGACTGGCGACTTTATTTAGACTTAAACTTCAATTTATTTTTTCTTGTTTCTTTTCCGTTATTTTTCGCCTTTTTTTTTGGTAGCACTCTCGGCTCGTAGCCGCCTGCGCCCTCTTTTCCCAAAAGAGGGTCGCTCAAGATACGGCACAATAAAGCTTAATCAGCCAGTTGCCAGTCCCCAAAGGCGGTTTTTAGAGGGTATCACTTAGGTTCCCCGGTAGGATGTGAGTCCCTCATAACCACGATAGACCGGCTATCGTGGTATGCGTAATGCATTTTCCGCCTCCCTACGTATAGGGTAGCCCTTTAATTGCTTCGGGCGAAAAAAAAAACATTACAGACACACACTTAATTTATTTATGAGAATAGATAGTGATTATTTATCAAGTTCAACATCCGTTCTCACACTATTATTATCTTTAAAAAAAACCTCATAGTAAGTATATTTCTATTTTTTTATAGGATAGGGTGACAAACGATCACACAGTACACCCGATGGTAATTGGTTGTTGCGGTCCATAAACATTTACATCAATCGTCGATCACGAATCAAAATGTAGATGCGTTGTCACACGTGAGGACTAAGGTGGAATGTCTCTTTTCCAGTAAAAAGGGTTTCCGGTTGTCTACAGTCACCATACGAAAAGCAGCGTTAAGCTGCTATTTTGCGCTGGTATTCTGTGAGAACGTGGTCCTTCCCGGTCGAGCCGACCCATTCGTACTAAAACTATACTACTAATACTAATATAGCTGCAGCATGGTTCTACCACGTCAAAGAATTATATTATTAATATCAGCACGATATTTGTTTCCGTCCGGGATCGAACCGGGGACCTTGTGCGTGTGAAGCACACGTGATAACCGCCACACTACGGAAACTGTTATTTTATGTTTTTTATTTCATTTTATTTTATGTTTTTACCTCCTCTCGTGGTGGATCTTTCAATCCTATAATGCCGATTAACCGTAAGCCCTCTAACGGAAAATTTATTTCATCAGTATCAAAATCGAAGTCCATTGGATATACATTTGGATCTAAAGTTAAGTCAGCAAAGGCTAGAACTCTTTCACCTGGAAATTCAGTTCCATTACATTAGATTAAAAAAAACTTTAGCATGACTTCAATTATGATTACATATTTACCAGTGTTTGCGAGATCTTCAACGGCTTTATCTGCAGCTTCCTTGATTTCTTTAGTAATCTTTATATCTTTATCTTCCAGAGCAACTGTCGTACAACGTAATAAAATGCATTCCGGCGCACCCTTCATTACGATCAGATATCTTGACAATTTTTTATCTAAATGCACGCTGACCTAAAAATTTAAATAGTATTTATATATTATATAATTTACCGATTGATAATGCTGTGATTATTAGGCACTATAGTAGTATATTATCACTATCAATTTTATGTCCTACGAGTCTTATTTAATTTAGAGGGTTTATTAATGAACCCTATACAACATTTATTAACTTCGTATTTCTGTAGGTATACAACATCCATTTGTCAATCTTACTTTCATTTATAAGTTGCATGTACTTTTATAGGACTTAGAGGTCCCAGCAAGGGATTAAATTAAACATGCCGTTATTAAAGGTTTCAAGAAAACTAGTAACAGAAAACATCACAATTATTATACTTTGATTCTATTGCAATTACGTTCATAAGGATTCATAAGAGAATACTTAGGCGTACATTACACGCTCATGCAGGCGTCAATCAATTCCATCAATCATGATTTATAAAAAACGTATGGTGATTGATAGGCGTACATTACACGCTCATGCATGCTGTCAGTTTTACAACAATCACGGTTGTGATTGACGAATAACCTACCGTGTAATGTAGTGATTGACGCCTGCATGAGCGCGTAATATACGCCTATTCAATCACCATTCCATCAATCATGATTGATGAAAAACGGATGGTGACTGCCATAGGCGTATATTATGCGCTCATGCAGGCGTCAATCACTGCATTACACGGTAGGTTATTCGTCAGTCACAACCGTGATTGTTGTAAAACTGACAGCATGCATGAGCGTGGCGAAAATCTATGATTATAAAAAATTCATCATTATCGTTACAACCCTTCACAAGCTCACTGCTGAACATAGGCCTCCCACAAGGAATGTCACAAAGCACGGTTCAGCCATAGTCCAGGGCCACCTGCATCCATCGACTTCCTGCACGGCTTACCAGGTCGTCACTCCATCTAGAGAGGTGCCGTCCCACACTTCGCTTACCGGTACGAGACTGCCACTCGAGAACCTTTCTATAAAATATTATCTGAAGCAAAATCATATGTACAATTCAATTTCTTAACACATACTTGATATTTATTAATAGAGTTGAACGGGATTTCTGCTATCTTCGGAAAGTTGTTTCTTACTGTCTCTGGATCATTATAAGTACGGAGAAAATGTAGGATGGCCGTTTCTGACGCATCACCGTGTATATCGCCATTGGGTGCAATTGTTGCGGTGCTACATAAAGCTCCACATATTTTTAAGGCCGTTATAGCTGAAAATTTATAATACGTAACGTTTTATTTGTGTCGTTTGTAAAAAAAAGTGTCTAAAATACCTATCGATAGCTTTACACAAAATAATAAGGTAAACTCAAAAAAAAACAAGGAAAACCAAATTAAAAAGAATGAAGTAAAAGTATCATACATATAAATTAAAATAAAATACAAATAATGAACGAATGAAAAGAAGCAGTAGCCCTTACTACCTCCTGTCTGTGAACGTACTTTATGAATGGCCCCTTCATCATTCGGTCAATCATTCGGTTTTTTTTAATATAATAAAAACGTATGTCTAAAGAGTTACATTTTAAAAAGTCACCCCTATTTTTACCCTTATGGATAGAATATTTTCTTCAAATTCAAAAAATGGGATCATTCTTGAGGCAAAGCATGTTTAATAAAAAAAAATCATTGAATTCAATTTTTAATTGGTTAGAATATCGCATAAAATACATACACAAATCTACAGTCGACTTGAGAAACCACTCCTTTTTCAGACAACTCCAAAAAATTTTACTCGCAAGTTTTTTTTTTAAGTAGCTGATAATATCAAGATGTTTTCTAAAAAAAATGTTCATCCAGTACTGATCCCGAATTGTAAAATGACTATATTTAATTATATTATCATCGCTTTACAACATTGGCACCAATCTTGAGTAAGAGGTTAAATGAAAATCATTCTTTCCTACCCTTGGGTTTTTTATTTCTTTATTGATTTTCCATATTTTATGCGAATTGTAATGTTTGAAAAATAACTTAACAAAAAACAATGACAGTAATTACTTATGTTAATATAGATCGATTTCAAAACTATACAAACCTTGATTGTTTCTTAAAAGGTCTGAAAAATAAACAAAACATGCGTTTTATTGTTGGCTAAACAAATGAGGGCAAATTCTATATCACATTAAATTGATTTGTAAAAAAAAAAGGTAAGAAACTTACATTCAAAATCAGGATCCTGTATGGAATACGTTCGATTCCATATCCAAACATGGAGAATACACATTTTATTTATAGTAAGCGTCCCGGTTTTATCTGAGCAAATTGTAGTAACGGCTCCTAAAGCTTCGATAGCTTCGAGGTTCTTTACAAGACAGTTTTTCTTAACCATACGCTGTGCTGTCAGCGTTAATGAGGCAGTCACTGTGGGCTGCAATCCTGTAAATGATCAAATTTTTTTGGGTTGAAATATTTGAATACTGCGGTATACTTAAGCTTACTTCTTTTATTACACTATGTGTTGTAATAAGAAGTAAGCTCTTTATCTGAAAAAGTAAGTATACGTTGTTAATAATATATCTAGGGGAGTCTCAGATTTAAACTCTAATTTAAAAAGAGTCGTTTCCACGAAAGAAGTCCCTCAGAAATGAAGCCGGAATTCGCGAATTTATCATTTACTGCCACATCCCATATTCTTTATGATGGACTCTAGTAAGTAGTTTGAACTTGAAATAAAGTATAAATAAGCTTACGGAGTATCATATAAACAACTATTTTATAGATTAAGGGTGACATTCGAGCACACAGTCCGTCTGATGGTAACTGTCCCATAAACATCTACATTTATCCTCAATTAAAATCAATATGATGATGCGCTGTTACCTCTAAAGACTAGGATGGAATGAAAAAAAGGTATCCGGTTCTCTACACTCACCATACGAAACACAGCAGCATTAAGCTACTATTTCACGCTGGTATTCTGTGAGAGCGTGGTCCTATCCCGACCCACTTGGGCTACAACTATAATATAGCTGCAGCGTGGCTCTGCCATGTCCAAAAAACCTACTAAATAATTTATGTAATAAACTATAATTAATACAGCTTTTGCTTCAAAAAGAGTGCATATGTTAGCTGATAAATCAATGTAGCTTAGTGACTGCTAAATGTCATCTTTAAATAAGACGAAGATTCTTCCAAGCTGTTCCAATGTGGCTTGGCGGACTTCATATTTATATCTACAGCTGAACATCGGACTCTCCCACAGACTGCTTGAAGAGCATTCCTGAGCACCTGCAGTGATCGACTCTGATTGGTTTCATCAGGTTGTCACTCCTTTTAACAGGAAGTAACTAGTTCTGCCCTGGCCTTATGAATCATCAGTTAAAATTGTCAGACTTCAAATGCCTTTAAGATCCCAAAAAACATAGGTAACTACTACTACTACTACTACCATAATGGATTTAACACAAACTTCAAATACCTTCAGGAATATTAGCGACAATAATGCCGATCACAAATATTGTCGTCTGTATGAAAGGATATCCCAGTATTGTTGAAGCGGTAGCTATAAATATTCCCAGGCACAAAGCCCAGATAGACATGCAACGCATGAAACGACTAATTTCTCTGGACAGAGGCGAAGGTGCAGGTTGCAATCGAGCTGCCAACCCGGCGACCCGACCTAGGGCTGTCAAATCTCCGCAACAAAGGACCACACCTGTAATATTCTTTTTTTAAATAAATACCCAAATGAGAATGACAGAAAATATATAATTTAAAAAAGATACACAAAACTAAAACTGAAAAAGTCGTTTCAGTAAAAAAGGTTCTCCGGATCTCTACACTCACCATACGAAACCTAGCAGTATTAAGCTGTTGTTTTACGCTGGTACTCTGTGAGAACGTGGTCCTTCCCTGGTCGATCTACATCAGTTAGCAAAAACAAGACCTCAGAGAAGAACCTGCTGCGTATTACAGAAATCGAACTCGATTTGCTGGCGTACTATGACATTTTAAACCGGGCGTTAAGCTAGCTACTGTGACTCTACTCGGAATAGATACACATTAAAAATACATTATTTAGACTGTAACTGGATGCTATATACTTGTAAATGAACAATATAATTATTGTAAGGTAAACTAACCAAATGCCCATCCTTCAACGCACAGTGTCGAGAAAAAAGCAACATTATGTGATTCTAAAATATTTGACGATCCCTCTGTGTTCGACCGTGGCACAGCTACGCATTCTCCAGTTAACGACGAATTATCAACCTAAGATATTACCACGTGCTCGTTAACAATTTCTTTTAAAATCTTTATACTGAATTTACTAGATTGTCTCCTTTTCTTTTTAGGATTTCGTCTAGGTTAACTGCATTCTCATACCTATTTCTACTGCTAAATAGTAATGCCTGCACTACTGTGTTCTGGTCCGAAGCGTAGGTATAGACATCCAGTGTAATTGTAAGCAATGAGGCGTACAATCTAAGACTTCAGAGGAGATAACGCAATTGTAGCCTTTTTGTTTGTAGTTCGTTGCAGATATCAAAGGGCTGCAGTTGGTAATTTACCATCATACGGATTGTAAGTTCGCTTCCCACTTAAACATAATAAAAATATATGTATGAATTTACATGTCACAGAATTAAGATAGGTGCATTCCCTGCATGGTAAAAACTCTGACCCTTACCAAGCGAGAAAATCCAACACGGTAAATATGGGCAGAAATGCACGCAAGCTTTGTGTACAAGATATAACGATGTCAGTGGTGTGAGGTGATTTTTATTTATTTATTTTATAGAATAGGCTGACAAACGAGCACACAGTCCACGTGATGGTAAGTGGTTGCTGCGGCCCATAGACATCTACATCTATCTTCCATTACAAATCAAAATGCAGATGCGTTGTCACCCGCGAGGACTGAGATGGAATGCCTCATTTCCAGTAAAAAGGGTCTCCGGTTCTCTACACTCACCATACGAAATACAGCAGCATTAAGCTACTATTTCACGCTGGTATTCTGTGAGAGCGTGGTCCTTCCCCGGTCGAGTGAGACACCTAGTTTGTTGTTTCTACTCTAAACGAGGTATCTATAGGCATATAGGCATTTATTTATATATATATATATATATATATATATATATATATATATATTATATATATGATATATATAGTCTACAATTAGGATAATTATACTACGAAATCCGACCCTGGTTACGCGGTGTATCGATATGACGTTTGTATTATGACAGATGCGTTACTTTTTCTTGTATGAAAAAGTTATGAGTAAAATATTTAGATGGGCCTATCCTTCCTTTTGAAATCATTGTATTTATGACAGGCATCTGTCCTGCGCGCGCACTACTGTCGACCGATTCGCGTTGGCCCTCAACTGTAATTTTAGGGCCAGCGCACTGGTCCATTTTAGTTGTTCGGTCGGCCCGGTCCTTACGCTAGTAATATATAAGTCAATATTTCCAGCACCCATGGTCACGGGGGACTCAGGTGACTGACGTCCCGATGTCAAAGTTAACACATAGTATCTTCAGTTTTTTTTAATTATTGTCTGGTCCGATCTTAGTCTTAGTCTTAGTTCATTCTGCGTAGATCGCACCAAAGACATAACTAGTAACATACTCCATTGTTAACGATGTATATAAAAGGTTGAAAGATCATAATAATACTCAGGGCTTTAAACTTTCTCGACCTATATAATTATTCAGAACAACGATGAGAAAAAGCTAGTGTATTGTAAGTATAAATATTTCTGCTAGCCTGATGGCCAACCGTCACTGGCAATGAACCGTTGACAGGCTGAAGCTAATATTCACTAGCATTTACATAGTCGACTAAATGGGTGCGTTTGGCAGAAAAAAGCGCTAGCAAGCGCTTGTAAGCAAAATGGCGATTCGTAAGCGGTAAGCGCTGTTAAATCGTAATAGCTATTTTCCTCCAGGACACGATGTTAGCGTTTTAACCGGGGAACCTAACCTAATTTAAATATATTAAAAAACTTACCAATCATGAATTTTTAATAACATGTACATATATATTTATTCATGTCATAATATTACTTAAAACTATTATTGCACAGAACAACTTATAAATTATTCAAAACAAACAAGTATTAAATAAGCAAAATGGCGGATTGTGTCAGCGCTACTGAAGTAGCAATCGTGTCCTGGCCGAAAATTATTTCAGCGCTGATAAGCGCTTGATAGCGCTATAAGCGCTTGACTAGCGCTTTTTTCTGCCAAACGCACCCATTGTATTCTATATAAGTACTTATTTAGAACATTGCAACTGGTGAAGGATTTGTATACTAATGGGTGAAGGATTTTATTTTTATTATACCATCAGAAGGCACTGTATATTAATAATGTATAAAACTATATGAAATGATTAAAAACAAAAGTGTTAACATACTTTGAATCCTTTGCTATCTATAATTCGAATGTCCGCTGGAATAACGTCACCGGACTTCACATGGACAATGTCGCCTTTAACCAAATGTGCCACCGGCATCTCCGGGTTCCACTTTCCATCACGCATGCATTGCGTGCACATTGGGATCATATTATTGAATATCTTCAATATCTAGAAGAGTAACTATACCTAATTATTACTTATTGTTAGACATTTTCCAAAAAAAGCAGCCGTGGTAGGTCAAGGCCTAAGGGCTCGCTGTAAATTTCACAGTACGCGAGTAACCTGGATTCAGTCTCCACCAATGAAAATGTTAATTGCAATTTTAAGTGCTGATTTATCACGTGAACAGCAGCGAAGAAAAGCTTCGTGAGAAAACCTGCATGCTTGAGAAATAAGAAAAAAATATTTCGAAGAAAGGTATAGGTCGCCAACACGCATTGGTGTAGCGCGGTGGACATAATCCCTCTCAGAAGTGAGAGAAGGCCCTATGCCCAGCAGTGGAACGTATATTATAAGTTGTAATTTTACTTTTTAGACACTTTAATAACTAACTACATCAGACAATCCGTAAAAATATTTAATTAGAATTTTTATTAAAATATTTTTAAGTCAGTTCATCATCATTACTATCCTTCACAAGTTCTTAGCTGAAAGTAGGCCTCCCCCCCCTCCCAACGAATATCACATAACTGCAGTCCTGAGCGACCTGTTTCCATCGACTTCATGCATGTCTTACCAAGTCGTCTCTCCAATTAATGGGCTTTACATTTTTTATTCAAATAATTTTTAGGGAAAGTTTTAGTGTACCTATATTATATAGACATGCACATTTTTGAGTAAGTTTTTTATTATGGAAATATTGAAGAAATTAGAGTTGTAATGATATAAAAAGAAATGTGGTATAAGTAGCCAAGCCGTTTTGCTTGTAATAATTAGTGATTAGTCACACTGCCATTGTTCCTTCGTGTACAGCGTGTGTGAACTGTGAAATGTTTTTCTTAGGGTTTGGCACTAGTGCGAGCTGCATACGCAGCTGGACGGCTCCCCTCTTAAGATAATTAATTAATATTTCACTTTACACTTTCACATAGTTCTTACCTTTGAACTTTTGAAATTTTGAAAAAAACTGAAAAGGCCACAGATTATGTCGACGGCAACCAACACGCATCCCAAATACAAATTGTCAGTACTTGGACGTGCCTTCATTGAAGATTCTATAACGTAGGCAAGTAAGCAGAGCAACGCTCCAAGCCAAATTAATATCGAAAAACCTATAAAACAAAATACTTATAATATCCATCACAATGTTTGTTTTCTTTTTTTTATATAATTAATATCTCTTATTGCATATTCTTCGTTTAAGTAGTAGGTCTACTACCTACTAAATGATGCCTCAGCAAATTTTCATACCTTACCCTTCGGTAACGGCAACTTTATTACGTTACAGTCCCTTTATTACGTTCCGTTACGATACGTTATATTAAGATCGAAGTGCATAATTAACTATTTTATAGCAATATACTACTAACTATATACTAAAAACTAATTTATTCTTAAACTTAGTTCGTCTTCTCCTTTACTAATACACAGTCCGCGGATTGGTATGGGATTCTCCTATGGTAGACAGGATTTGCTATGAGGATTAGCCACCATAGCTCGCACAATATTGATATATTAATACGATATTATATTCGACGCTATTCCCCGCGCCGCAGTTCGCCGTTCTGAATATTTTGCATCTGGTAGGTATGTAGGAACGAGGTACTTATACCATCATCTTTCAGATGCAATAGGATCTATAACGAAGTTAAACCCTACGAAATTATCCGTGGTGACGGATTCTCTTATACCGCCACCACATGTCACTTTACTTTTTAGTTACCTACTATTATTAAATGTAATTACATTATACGCTTACATTGAATTAATCATAAAAGGTATGAAATTGCACAACTAATGGGTTTTAATCTATGAAATTCGTATTTTCATGCAAATATAAAAATACGATCCACCAAACCAGAAAAAAGGGAATTTCACGTAAATGTTATACCGTATTCGACAAATTGTGATGTAATAAACATCTTAAAAACCTTAATTTTTAATGGAAATAGGATGACATACGATCACACAGTCCTGATTGTAAGTGAATGCTGTGGCCCTTAGACATCTACATCTATCTTCAATTAAGAATCGAAATACACATGCATTGTCACCACTGAGGACTAAGAGAATGCCTCGTTTCCTCGGTTCTCTATACTCATCATACAAAACACAGCAGCAGCTGCTATTTTACCACAGAAAGCTAAATAATAAGGCAATTATTATTTAGAGCGTGGTCCTTCCCCGGTCGAGCTGACCCATTCGTGCTACTACTATTATATAGCTGCAGCGTGGCTCTACCACGAATAAGAAACAATCCTTATCATAGCAAAATGTTCAGGTACGTCATACGTATCCTGGATAAATTAAGGTTTTGCGAAACAACTAAGTAATATTCTCATTAAAATTGTTATCATACCAGTAAACAAGCTTTTAAACAACATTTTTGGCCATCTAAACTGTGTCGTAGGCGTCAGTGTGTTGGGGCCGTAATATTTTAAGAGCTCCGATGCTTTAACACTCGTCAGTCCTTTTATTGGATCCGTACTCAGTAGGCTGTAAAGATCTTCTACGAAATATTTACGACTTGAATAATTCTTTATTATTCGATTAATTACCTACGCTACGTTTTCGTGATTCGAATAAAAAAAACAATCCCTTAAAGGTAGGTAGGCAAATAAACTTTAGGATTGAGCTTTTTGGTATTTGAATAAGTAAGGCCTTTTTAAAACATGTTCTCGTCATATTCTTTAAAACTTAAAATGTTGACAGTACTGAGATATGGATCTCAAACAAGATCATTTACTGCTGGACCATTACGGTAGCGTTCGGGTCGCTCAGGAAGCTATGGACAGGACTATTTCTCGGAATTTCTCTGCACAGTAACAGACGAATCATTAAGCTGTGGCAATGTGCCGGCCGTATAACTCGAATAACCGGCAACCGATGGGGCAAAAAAGGTTCTTGAGTGGCAACCTTTTTCTTCAAGTGGCAAGCAAAGTAAAGGGAAACCTCCCACTAGATGGAGTGACATGGTAAAAGAAGTCGATGGGTGCAGGTGACTTGTAACCATGTCTTGTGACAATCCTTGGGGAAAGCCTATGATCATCAGTAAACTTGTGATATCGATTGGGCTGTGATGATAATGGTGGTAATGTGTAGCCATTACAATTCGTAAAACGATCGAATTTTCTAGTGAGCTGTCAGCGTTTACGAAACGTTTTCAGACTCGCTTATTTAAATCCAAGGTAATCTGCTAGGATTTATTTTATATATAAGTGATAAATTCGTAATATCATGTGACAATGCCGCCTAAGTTCGACCCAAACGAAACTAAAATCGATAACTTGAGATGTGCTGGTGAAGAAGTTGGTCTTCTTGGTCTCTCTCCCATAAAGGTTGGTGATGACATTGCCAAGGCTACAGGTGACTGGAAGGGTCTGAAAATTACAGTTAAACTTATTGTGCAAAACAGGCAGGTACAAATATCTGTTGTTCCATCAAGTGCAGCTCTTATCACCAGAGCTCTAAAGGAGCCACCCCGTGACAGAAAGAAGCAAAAGAATATTAAACACAGTGGCAATATAACACTTGAGGATGTAATTGGCATTGCTAAAATCATGCGACCACGTTCAATGTCTCGAGAGTTGTCTGGGACAGTAAAGGAAATTCTTGGCACAGCACAATCTGTTGGCTGCACTATTGACGGCAGGCCCCAACACAGCCACAACATTATTGATGATATCAACAGTGGAGCTATTACTATAGATGAATAAATGAATATATTTTGTCTAGGAATCCGAGTAGGTACCCAGGTTACCACTACAAGTTACCTTCGTACCTATTTTTTCCACCAAGTAACACTACGCCCAGTGTGCTGTTATAATTTGAAAAATTAAAGAGACAATATAAATACAGCCTGTGAGACATTTCAGTAGCTCTTCTCAGGAAAGACATTACATCGGTAGCCTTTGTCTAAAAATGGTTGAATTGCTTATACTGTTAGTTCGTTTGTTGCTCTTATACTATAAAAATGTCTAAAGGTAGAGCAACGATATAGAAAAGTGACCTAGTTGGGCAAAGGCCTAATTATTAAGATGGTAATGTAGATAGCGGTTAACAGTTTTTGAGGAACCTGTATGATTTCCATCTTCTTAAGATGTTATTCTGCCCTTATAACTGCAATAATAATTTTAGTACTGCAGGCTCGTTACTCGCGTACAACGAGATTTTAAGTGGCTATACTTTTATCTCCCGTTGTATAATATGATTTAACGTAGTTACCTCTGTGAGAAAAATTAATCAAGTAGTATATACTTACTCAATGGAATAAGATGGGCGTCGGTTTCAATCTCCTTTTTCAGTGCAAGCAAACGAGTACTACTTAAATCTCTTGATCGCAGTCGTTTAGGATTGTTCGGTCGAAACAATTCAGTGATGGAAGAGAAACTAGAACTTTTTGAGTGCATAATGCTCGCAATATACCCTACTTATTTTATATTTCTCCTAACAATATAATGTCATAGTTTTTAATTTATAATCTAGTGGGTCACGCCGCCAGTTTACAATGAATTCACGACAAATTAATTACGACAAATTTACATTAATATCCATAGTTAGTAGAAGGAAAAGAAAAACTCATACTTTAGCGTATGATAGAATAAATTGAATACGAATGAATATTATTTTTTAAATAATACCAAAGTAGCAGTTAGCTTTGCTGAAACATACGTTATAATAGAGACGGAGTATTAATAATATGCGGATTCAATGGCCCATAGACCTCTACCCTCGATTAAAAATTCAAATATAGCTTCGCTGTCACCTATGAAGATTGAAATAGAATGCCATAATGCCAGTAAAAGAGGGCTTCGGTTCTCGTAAGCTCATACCGCAATATTATCTTTGTTCTTGAACGCGAGGTCCGCCCACGTAGGTAGGCACAGGGTTGTCAAATAGTTAAAAGTACTTAAATATTTTAATTTTCCTTTTACATTAAAACAATAACGGAATAAAAGTATGTAAATTACCAAACTTCAGCATAATTTTGGTATAACTATAAATGCCGATAGACATAGTGACAATATATACTGGTTGCGCGGAAAACCATTCGCGTTTTTTTTATTTTTGACGGTAGGAACTTGTCGAATCATTATTCCCTTCCGAAACAATATCATTCGTACCCTCCTATCGACACATCGGGGTGGTGGGGTGGGAGGGGAAAGAAGACGATTCTAGAACATCGCGTAATCATCGGACCCGAGGATATATAAGACACGCGCGACCGACGCGCGCTCTCTTCTCCCGCCGCAGTCGTCGTTGAACTACAACCTCCTCTTCCCGCGCGCTCGTTTGGAAACACCTCACTAGTGGAAACCGCTTTGGCCTGGAAGCAGTCGAGCTCCAGGAACCCGCCTCACCTCGTGTGAGATATCGTCGCGCATCGCCTCTCTCCGGAGTGTTCCGGAAGTCGCCGCTATAGTGATCGACAGGAAGAAGAAACCCCGGTGAGTCAATATTCCTTAATTATACCTGCTTGCTAATAGTTTAACCCGCTCCTATCTGTGTTTTTTTCCTAGTCAAGCAGGATTCCTTTCATCGATTCGACAAGTAATAGTTTAGTTTAGGGAAGAGCGAGTGCATTGTACCGCATGCTATAGTAGTCGCTTTTAACGTAAGCGTAGAAGCAATCGCATATACAGTCCACTTTAGTTAATATCTCGCGTAATAGGTTTGAGGTTTGACCGGGGAACTAGATTTTCGGCAGCCTTAAACACGTGGCTCCACCATTTTATGGTCACTTCGGCAGGATCTGGATTGGTGTTTAGTGGTTATCCAACCATTTTCTGGTCGAATTATTAAATTAATTGTTTAGATAACGCACTCTAATTTATAGAATAGACTTAAATAGTGTTCGTTTAAATTAAAATTTTGATTTGTTACTCGCAAACAGAATTATTCATTTAATAGCGCTCGTATTTGGTTAAATTTAAAGCTTATTAAATAATTGAAACGGCGTGATAGCAACCGTTTGATACGCTTACCCCACAATTTTATAAAATTATTAGGTTTAGCAAACGACGCGTAGCCTTGACTGCATCGGGCGCTCGATCTGATTACGTAATACAGCACGCCGAGTATTCATCCTACGTCGTTTATGCGTGTGAGATTAATTGTGATTAATATAACTTTATTATAATAATTTAAAATGGCAGTTAGTGGAAGTGAAATCAAAATTAAAACGCTTTATGCCAAGAGGGACATACTCTTTTCGCGTGTGCAAAATATAAGTGATTATATAAAGAACATTCATATAGAGGCAGTACGGGAGGCCTTTTTAAATGAAATCGAAACGATAGATAATTTGCGGACAGATTACGAAAGAATATTAGACCAAATTAATCATTCGGAACTACAAACCGACCCGAAATACATAGTGAACTACCAACCGCTGCTGGCATTCGAAGATATGTTGTGTCGCGTGAAGAGAACCGCAAAATTGCTACAATCTCAAGGTGAAGCGAAGCCTGAAATGCAGGTACGCCCTCGTGACTCAATTAGGTTACCGCCAATAGATATTCCGGTATTCAATGGTGATATTAAGACGTGGCCCTTCTTCTTCAGTAGTTTTCAAAACAATATACACAACAACCCATCGTTATCGGACGCTGAAAAATTATATTACTTAATTAGCAAACTTAGTGGCAGAGCACAGTCGATCTGCTCGGGTTTTACACCTACAGCAAACAATTACGTATTAATATTTGAAACGCTTAAAACTAAATATGAAGATAGGAGAATGTTAGCTTCCGAATATTTGAACCAGATATTCGATCTTAAACCTATATCATCCGCGAACATCAACGGCTTAGAGCAGTTTCTCGATAAATTTGTGGCATCGGTGGCTGCACTTAAGAATTTGAAGTTTGATGACCTTATGGACGTGGTGTTTCTCCATATAGCATTAAAGAAATTAGACTCCGACACCGTGCGTGCGTTTGAAATGGAGCATCGTAGCTCGGAGATGCCTTCCTTTCATTCATTAGCATCGTTCGTGCGAGATCAAATAAAGGTGATGCAGCGCTCACCGAACGTTAAACAGGAGATTAAAAGGTGCGCCGACCGTAGACAGACTCAACCATCTAAAATAGCAGGGTCGTTAACTTACGTAACCGCTACGCCGACATCACTCCAGCGTACTTGTATAGTATGTAAAGATAAACACGGTAACTTATATAACTGTGCGACTTTTCGTAAATATTCACCAAGCGAACGTTATAAGTTAGTAAAGACAAACAACCTATGTTTGAACTGCTTAAGCGATAAGCATTTAGTTGCAAAATGCAATTCGAGTTCCGTATGTAGCAAGTGCGCCAGGAAACATCACACGCTATTACATTTTGAAAATAGCAACATAGCGGCGTCAAGTAAGGCGAATAAGGAATTCACCCCTACTAAGGTCAACGATTCTAGCGGTCGACCTGATGATGTCGCTCTGTGCTCATTGGCAAATATGGGAGCACAACCTCCTTCAACCGTGTTACTGGGTACGGCGCGTATTTTGGTTAGGGATTCGCGTGGAAACAAACAAAGCGTCCGTGCACTGCTGGACAGCGGAGCCCAAAATAGCTTTATAACACGACAATGTTGTCAGCGCTTAGGCTTAGTAATAAATAGGTCACTTTCATGTCCTGTAGTTAAAGGCATCGGAGGTACTAGTAAAGCGACACAGGGATATATAAATTTAAAATTTTATTCTCGGATAGATCGTAACGTTAACTTTGATATAAATGCACTAGTAGTAGATAGGGTCACTGAACGGTTGCCAACCGTTTCGGTTGACACCTCGGCAATGATTGAATTTAAAAATTTGACTCTAGCAGACGACACTTACGCCGTTCCTGGAAACATAGACATGCTCATTGGGGCATCGCTTTTCCCTCATCTTTTGTTAAACAATAAGGTCAGGGGCAACTCCTCGCATACCGCGCCTTACGCACTGGAAACCGTATTGGGCTATGTGATCCTTGGCTCCGCCCCCCATCCTAGATAGTATTTCGGCAGCCTCTTATTGTGGTATGGCTGTCGAACCGCTCGAGTCGTTAGTCCGCAAATTTTGGGAGATGGAGGAGGTGAACGTCCCACCCATAGCTAGTTCAGCTGACAGGATATGCGAGGAAATTTACGTCCGCACGACCGTTCGTGATCGCGACGGTAGATATAGTGTAGCGCTACCCTTTAAGGGAGATGTTTTATCTCTCGGCGATTCGCGTCAAATGGCGGAAAAACGTTTCTACAGCTTGGAGCGTAGGATGCTCGCTTCGCCCCAGTTAAAGGAAGCTTACGACGGCGTCATTAACGAATATATAAGAGAAGGTTACATATCACTTGTGGCTTCGAAATTAGATAACTACGAAGACACACCGTCGTATTTTATACCACACCACGGAGTCATTAGAGAGGACAAACTTACATCTAAATTACGTGTAGTGCTCGACGCTAGTGCTAAAACTAGCACTCACCTGTCGCTTAACGATATCCTCTATAGTGGGCAAAATTTACAGGGCAGTTTATTTGATATAATAGTCAATTTTCGTTTGTTTAGTATAGCACTATCCGCCGATATTCGCCAAATGTTTCTTTGCATAGGGGTCCGTGAATGCGACCGTAAATTCCAGCGCATTTTATATCGTTTCAACCCAAAGGAACCTCTAATGGTGTTTGAATTTAACCGCGTTTGTTTTGGTTTAAAGTCGAGCCCATTTCATGCGTTACG